TACACTAAGTTGTAACAGTGACATACTCTCTTCCTGCACTAAGTTGTAACAGTGACATACCCTCTCCCTACACTAAGTTGTAACAGTGACATACTCTCTTCCTGCACTAAGTTGTAACAGTGACATACCCTCTCCCTACACTAAGTTGTAACAGTGACATACTCTCTTCCTGCACTAAGTTGTAACAGTGACATACCCTCTCCCTGCACTAAGTTGTAATGATGATATACCCTCTCCCTGGACATGATTTTCAGCAGCTGTAGTTTAGTGTAATAATTAAATACTAAAGTAAGTTGTATCTTATAATTAGAACTTGTGCCTGTACAACATATACTAACAAACTGTGTTAAATTAATTTTTTGGAAATCTCAGTGATAATGTTCATAAGTGTATTAATTTGTTATTTATTACTTGCCCTCTTGTGGTGTTATGATAACTTATAATATTAAAAATGATATTTTTCATTACATCTTTAGTTAGTGGATAATTCTTTTACTGTATTTGAATCGGTTGTTTCCCCTGTTATAATTATTAAGAATATAGTACTATTTGATCAAGTATGTCATGTGTAATAAATTAATATTATAATTACAGTTACTAAACACATTACGTGCTAAGACATTCACACAGCATGTCATCCATTTTTCACACATACAGAGCCAACAAACATGCCAATGCAAATGTTAAATATAAGACCTCGTGATCTAATCATCAAACTTTGTGCAATGTATGAGTAATTAGTAATACTAATAGGTTTAATTACTAAATTAGACAAAATGTCGTATCATGAGATTCGGCATGTAAAGTAGATACCCAAAATTCTTGAGTTACGTTCCTTGCTACATAAAATATTGTCAACTTGCCATTTTGTTTTTCAACGACAAGACTAATTAAGGATGTGGTACGGCAAGTTCTCTCTCTATTTGTCCATTGTTGTTTAGTTTTCATCTGATCTTATACCGTTCACATTGTTATCGCATGAAATTCGGTTTTCCTATGATTAACAAGCTTTTTTTTTTACCAACAAATATGCAGTATTAAACACAAATGTACTTGTGCAAAATAATTTTTCTTTAATAAGATAGCTTACAAGAAACAGAATTTTCAATAAAATAAGGTGTACTTCCAAACTGAAACAGAGAATAAGCATTTATGTTTTGATTTTCGATAAGACATTTTATTTTACATTTTAGAACCATTGCATTTTTTCTTAAGCCTGATATTTATATAAAATGTAGTGAACTTCGAAGTTAAAATTCATGCATATGCTAAATGGCTTACTCCCCACCTTCTTGTCACACACACATTTTGACAGGACCTTCCTTTCTCAGGTACATAACATATGGCCAGTACAGTAAAGAATTAACATATTTGTTACTTGTCAGTAACTTTTGTGTATGGATATCTTTAATATTTATTACTAAGAGTAAAAAAAAATGTCTTCTGGTGACCAATATTTTGCTTGAATGAAACTCACAAATCTTATCCTTTGCGAGTGTTCTGATCAATGAAGTGAAAGAATATTCGTTAAATGTAAAATGCTTTCTTTTTAAGGATTTAGATATTAAAAAAAACTATACGGGTAGTTTTGGAATCTATCGAAATAACTGCTACTAAGAAAAAAAGCTGTCATTTGTAAATATTCTAGTGTTTTCTGTTTAGAAGCATTTGTACCAAGTTAATTTTGAAAAAAGGTCAGCTACAAAAAAAAAATCTTTTGTTTTCTACATCAAAAACATACAAATAGCACTTTTAAGGAAAAAAGATCTAAGCTGAAAAATTTGGCATTTACTTGATGAGAAATTATAAATACAAAAAGTAATACTTCTTTGAACATTATGAAACTGGTTGTTGTAAATTTATTTTATTATTTAGTGATTTGTTTAAATTGTACTTCAATTTGACTATAAAACATAATTGTGGCAATCAAGGAGACAGGAAATCAAAAAGATTTTTTTCCTCTTTTTCCTTGTAGCATTTCATTGTGTATTGAGTTTTTCCTTTTGTGACAAGTTTGAACTTTTAAGGATATCACACAGAGTTTAATACTAAGTATGGCATTGTTAATTAATATAATTCATTAAAATATATCTTAAAATTGAACAATACTGCACTTTGACTTTATGAATCAACTTATGCAGATAAGATGTATAAATAATTATCTAAAAATGAATTCATAAAATAATTAGAAAATACAAGCAGCCTGTCATCATAATTGAGTTTCTACTAAGAGCATTATCTCAGGGTAATAATTGAGTTTCTACTAAGAGCATTATCTCAGGGTAATAAGCG